ACACACACACACACACACACACACACACACACACACACAGGAACAGGGAATCAACAACTAGCTCCCCTCTAACTCACTCGCCATCCTGATTTAGAACTATATCACTTTCCCTTCACTGTCACTGAGTCAAAATCCAAGAACTCGCTGTCTTAAAGAACTGTGGATGTATGTATAAACCCAAAGACTGCAATGGTTCAAGAAAGCAGCTCCCAAGGACAATTATGGATGGGCAATAAATTTTAGCCTCACTAACAACATCCATAAACTCACGAACAAATGTTTAATAAATCTCACTACAGTCTGCATTTGCTATCATACTTTCTTTGTCACCTGTGGTTCAGTTCAAAGCACTCTGACCTCTGAGTTATAAGTTTCAAGGTTCCAGTCAAGTGCATTAGTAAAAAATTTAAGACTGATACCCTAGTGCAGCATTGCAATGTCAGAGGTGCCGTCTTTCGGATGAGATAATAAATTGAGACCCCGTCTGCCTGCTTGAGTGGATGTAAAAGATTGCATGGCACTATTGCAAAAGAGGACAGGGGACTGCCCTCCAAGTCCAAACCAATATTGATCCCTCAGCCAAAATCAGAAAAGACAGATGATCTTCTCGTGATCATATTGCTGTTTGTTGGATCTAGTTGTATATAAGTTACATTTCCTATATCACAACATTAACTACATTTCAAAAGTACTTAATTGGCTGAAAGGTGCTATATAAAATGCAACTGTTCTTTGATATAAAACAAATGATCATTTGTGATCTTGCCAAAAACAATATTTCAAAAATACATTGATACCTTTCATTTATGAGGTTTTTAATAAGACAAAATTAAACAAATTTCCAATGATGGAAATTGAGTTCAATAAATATCTGGAATTAAGAGTCTAATGATGACCGTAAAACCATTGTTGATTGTCCGAAAAACCCATCTGGTTCCCTAATGTCCTTTAAGAGAGGAAACTGCCATCTTTCTCTGGTCTGGCCTACACTTGACTCCTGACCCACAGCAATCTGGTGATTATTAACTGCCCTCTGGGATGGGCAATACATACTGGCCTAGCCAGCTAGGCCCTCATCCTATGAATGAATTTTTAAAAAAAATTAAAGTAAGGGTAGAAATGGTGGAACAGGGAAAAGACTATTCAAGCCAAGAGGCACACTCCCATCTTGAGCTCAAACATATCCATCTATTCCCCCATGGAGATCAATAGAATCATCTTCTAATCCCTAAATCTCCAAAATATTCAATTCTATGTGTCTATGACTCAACTCTGGTTTGTTTCAATTGATCTTTCTTTATTACAGGAGAGGAAGCAATTTGTTCCATGGATTGTTTGTTTATTTCTATCTGTTTATGTTTATTGTTTATTTATCTCTGGTTCCCCATAATTGCATGGATTTTTACAGCACACTGGTAGTGTTCCTATCTCTGGGTCAGAAGGCCTAGGTTCAAGTCCCATCTGCTCCAGAGATATGTCATAACACATTTGAACAGGTTGATTAGAAATATATACTCCAGAACCATCAGTCACATTCGAACCTGGTCAAGCTCTGTCAGTCTGGATCTACTCTGCATGATTCTAGACATTTATTCTAGAAATGAAGGTTAAGAGGTGACTTAATAGAGACATACAAGATGATCAGAGGATTAGATAGGGTGGACAGTGGGAGCCTTTTTCCTCGGATGGTGATGGCTAGCACGAGGGGACATAGCTTTAAATTGAGGGGTGATAGATATAGGACAGATGTCAGAGGTAGGTTCTTTACTCAGAGAGTAGTAAGGGCGTGGAATGCCCTGCCTGCAACAGTAGTAGACTCGCCAACTTTAAGGGCATTTAAATAGTCATTGGATTAACATATGGATGATAATGGAATAGTTTAGGTTAGATGGCCTTCAGATTGGTTTCACAGGTCGGTGCAACATCGAGGGCCGAAGGGCCGTACTGCGCTGTAATGTTCTATGTTCTATGTTCTATGTTCTCCAATATTCAAGCCAGTTGCCATTTTAATGAACCAATTGATGCCACATTGATTATTTTTGCTATGGCCTTTTCCTCAGGCTAGCCTTATAAAAAAAAGCTTCTTCGCTTCCTAAAACTTGATTGAAGCCCAACAAATGTTGTATTTGTGGACTGCAGTTTGATGTTCATATTGAATTCAGTGTGGCACTCACTTAAAAAGCACAGATTGCAACAACACCTTTCATAGCTATAGCATCTTTAATATTGTAAAATATCCCAAGGTGTTTCGCTGGAGTGTGATCACACAAAAGTTAACTTTAAGGAGATTTTGAAACAAGTGGCCAAAAGCTTGATCAAAGAAGCAGGACTTAAAGAGAATCTTTAAGGAGGACAGGCATGTGGACAGGCAAAACATTTTACGGATAGAACTCCAGACAGCTAGAGGCACGGACAGCAATGATGGATCATGGGAAGTATGGAAAGTGAAACAGGTCAGAATTGAGGAATGCAGAATCTCAGAACTGCGGAAGTTAACAGGGATGGGGCAGTCTGAAGCCAAGGACCAAACTGAAGATAGCAACCAAAATTTTAATGGTGAAACATACCCCTACCAGGAGGTGGATTGGGTCAATGATAGGTGAACTGTATTAAGGCAGTTCATGGTTTAAGGAAAAGACTTCAAAACATTGACACAGAAAATCATTCTGCAACTCATTCTGAAAAGTACAGCTACAAATTGCACATCAAACGAAATCATGCCTGGCATGTATACAGTCAGCAGCAACCACAATGCAATCTCTCCCCAGTCTCTATTACGAAGCAGTAAACATGCTTACAAAACTGGTAACGTGGTTAATAGCATGTCAAGACAGATCTACCTTTATTTACTCATCTATGTCAATGCAGATTACTAACAATGAGTGAAGAGATTGGCACAAATTGGGCAGTCTGCCAAAGCCTGAAAGTAGTTAGTTTTGGATTGTTAAATGATTTCAGAAAACAGCCTGTGGAACTTAAGATGTTGTAATTCGCCTTAACTTTGAAATGGCCATAAAAATAGAATCTTCTAACTCCACCATACATGTAGAAACAGCAGCGAATTGTTATTGCGGCTTAAAAACTTGGGTTCAAAAGCAAAATATGTCATCTGCAGAAAGAATGGGGATATTTTGATGAGAAAGTGGTGTTTGTCTGCTTCAGAGCAGTCTGGGTCATTGCAGTCATGTAAATAAAGTGTGGAGCTTATATCAGTCTATTGCTGTAATGGCCAATATTTCATCCTTCAGGAACAGAATAAAGAGCCATCTTAAATTGGACCTTTTGTAATTGCTTTGCTCATCTTTAATGGCGCCAATTTTAGCTCAGTGGTCAGAATAACAAAGCTTCACTTCAACCCCCAGGTACAGGCTGGCAGGTGGATTGGTGTAAAATGGGATGGATAACAAGGGCCATTGCTCATCGCCAATCCACCTCCCTTGGTGTAATAAATGCCGTGAGTTAGGTGTCAAGTTGTACCACGCTTCTGGCTTTTTTGTATGTGGTCCTTTGTGCTGATACTATTTCACCAGTAGTAGGGGACTGCTGTGCCACATTGTGAGGCAGCCAGGCATGTTCTGGTAGTCTGGCTCTGTGGGAAGGGCTGCTTCTAATTGAAGACATCCCCCCCCAACCTGGCTTCCTGAACATACAAATACCTCCTTTCCCCCCATGCCTCCCCTCCCCACCAGCTTTAAGGGATCTGTCTGACGGGACCTCCTGAGGCAGCTGCACTTACTTCACAATCTGTTCTCCATGCCACTCCTGCTGAATGCCCGCAGTCCCAGCAGTGTCCACAGCCAATGGTGGCGCCATTGGGACTGGAGGGTCATCGGTTTGCCGGCATCTCTTGGAGGTGGGACATATTCTCTTAAGGGCAGATACCACAACTTCAGGAATCCAATTGGCTGAACCTGAGTCACACACCTGGGTCGTGGCGTCCCAGGCCAGAGGTGGCAGGCTAGCCCCCTCAGTCACCAACTGAGGAACCAGAGCCATCTTAACCCTGCTTAAAATTCATCCCCCTGATCCCCCCCAAGTTGTGGGATCAAATCTCATTCCAGAGGTTGCACAACATTAATCCAGGCTGACCCTTCGCTGTGGTAACTCAGAGTATGCTGCACAATTAGGGATGCCAGCTTTCAGATGAAACTCCCATTTCTCCTCCCACATGAATATAAAATATCCCAAGCTGCCGTTACGAAGAAAACCAGATGAGTCCTCACGGTATTCCAACATTCATCCCTCTGCCCATTTCCTGAAGACTGGATTTTCTGACCGCTAACACATTACTCTTTGTGGGATCTTGCTGTGTGCAATACGACCATCATGCTTCCTGTGGTACAAAAGCAACACAAAGTAAAAGGTGCTTTATTGGCTGCAAAGTGCTCTTAGGGCCCCTGAGGTCATGAAAAGTTGTACAACCCCAAATCATTCTTTCACGCTTTGGACCCTCCCTGAAAACAGTGTCTAATGTTAGTCAAAAGCACCGTCACATTTCTTGTTTCCAATCATTACTACATTCTACACCCTGAATTGGCTGAGCGACACAGGGCAGTTAGTGCTGGACTCATCGACGATTTGACATCTCGCCCTATGTTTTCTTCTTTCATTTTCCAGCTAAGGAAAGACTCGACTACGTGGAGAACTATCAAAATCTGGTGACCAACTCAGAAACACTAGATGTGGAGATCTTTGAAATCCCAAACATTGGACTCTTTGCCGCCACTGCCAATAGGAAGCCCCAGCCAGGTTCAACGATCTTCAAGTGGTTGGATGGGAAGTTTGAGCCATATCAGAACATCACAACTTATGAAGCCCAAGCCTGGAAACACTTCTCCATTGGCCCTGAGGTAGGCTGGGGAAAGGGGAAATGAGTGCGTTTAAAGATTTCAGAAACTATAGGCATGGTGACAAACTTCAACTGTTGATGCTTAATGTGCTTGTGATACACCTTTCTGCACTTGAGCGTTAACTGACTTCATTTCATTATTTTAACCTGGCCACAATGTTAGGACAGACCTTGGTGCAATCATAGAATGGATGTAAGTATACAGGAGGCCATTCAGTCCTTGCTGTCAATGCCAGCTCTCTGCATGAACAACTACTTACTGCAAATTCTTCCTCTACATTCTGTTTCGATGTTCAGTCCTTTGGGTATAGGAGTTGAGATGTCACGTTGAGGTTGTACAGGACATTGGTGAGGCCTCTTCTGGAGTGCTGTGTCCAATTCTGGTTGTCCAGTTATGGGAAGGATATTATTAAGCTGGAGAGGGTTCAGAAGAGATTTACCAGGATGTTGCTGGATATGGAAATTTTGAGTTATACAGAAAGGCTGGGACTTTTTCCACTGGAGCATAGGAGGTTGAGAGGCAAACTGATAGAAGTTTATAAATTAATGAGAGGTATAGATAGAGTTAATGGTAGGCGTCTTTTCCCTAAGATGGGGGATTTAAAGACTCGGGGGCACATTTTTAAGGTGAGAGGAGAGAGATTTAAAAAAGACAAGGGGAGCAATTTTTTTACACAGAGGGTGGTTCGTGTATGGGATGAACTTACTGAGGAAGTGGTGGATGTGGATACAATTACAATGTTTAAAAGACAGTTGGATAGTTACATGAATAGGAAAGGTTTGGAGGGATATGGGCCAGGAACAAGCAGATGGGCCTAGTTTAGTTTGGGATTATGTTCGGCATGGACTGGTTGGAACGAAGGGCCTGTTTCCGTGCTGTATGACTCTATGATGGTTGAATCTGCCTCTACACATCCTTGGTTATGGATTGGGTTAATTCTGAACTGTGTCAAATTCTTAGGTTGGAATTTACTTTGTGTTTGTTCACTAGATGTAGAGTTTGTTGGCTAAGCCAACATTTATTGCTCAACCCTAACTATCCCTGATCAAAGCACTGTTGTTCCAATGAGTACGCACTTAGATTCGCTCTATCACTGCATAAGACACAGAATAAAAGAAGGGCAAGGGTTGTACAGGGATAAATCTCTGATTAACAATGGAGACTTTCTAATAAAGACATTAACAAGATTTGCCTTTTGACTGTGGGAATGGAAGTGAGCACCAGAATCTCAAAGAGACCCATGCCCCTATCTTGCACACTATTGATCCTCTGTGTCCTCTTAGGTTTTCCTGGCCGTAGCCAATTTTGAAAAGAATGAACGGAACCAGGAGTATTCAGTCATCTACAGATGGAGCCAGAGGAGGCTGCGGTTTGTTCTGTACCAGAGACTAGCAACTCACAGCGCCCGTGACTGGGAGGCCTTTCAGATCAATGGGGAGACGTTCCTTGCTGTAGCCAATCATCGTGAAGGTACAATGTTCAGAATCATGTGTTGCTAGCTGCCATCTTCTGTCTCCCTGGAATGTGATGATGGACTTATCAGTAGAGGAGTACAGAGGATGGAAGTTGTATTACGGTTGTATAAATATCTAATTAAACCCTGTCTTTGCTGCTCTTGTGTCCGGTTTTGGGCTCCACACCACAGGAATGATACGCTGACCTTGGATGGGCAAAGGAAAATCCCCCAGAATGATATTGAAAGGTTAAATAGTGTCTACAGGTTGCACAGACCAGCTTTGTATTCCCTTGAGTACAGAAACATTTTCTAATCACACTGTTCGGAGATGTTAATTCACATCTCTGAAGTAAGTAGGACTTGAACCCAGGCCTCCAGGCACAGAGGTAGGGACACTACGACTGCACCAGAAGAGTCTCCATTAAGTATGGAAGATTAAAAAGTGCTCAAATTGAACAGTTAAGAAGTTGTTAATGTTAATTTTAAATCAGAGACACATTTTTTTTTAAGCAAAGTTATTTAAGTTCATAGGCCAGAGGCGGGTGTATGGAGTTATGCCACAGATCGGCCATGATCTCATTGAATGGTGGGACAGGCTCAAGGGGCTGAATGGCCTACTCCTGTTCCAAAGCTGATTACAGGATTTGATAGAGGAGATAAGGAGAAACTCTTGTGGTTGATGCATCCACAATAAGGAAAAAATACCCTTAACATTAGAGCCAGCTCATTCAGGGGGTGATGTCAGGAAACACTCCTTCACTCAAGGTAGTTGAAGTCTGGAGTGCTCTCCCCTAAAAAGCTGGCGAGGCTTGGAGGGGGAGAAAGTGAATTGAAATTTTCAAAACTGAGATCAATGGACTTTTGTTTGACCAGGATGCTGGGGGACGTAGGACCAAGCCAATGACTAAAGCTAAGATACAGATCAGTCTCAGTGTAAACTGAGTGAAGGTCTGATTGGCCTCTTCCTACGACGTACTGGATGTACAAAATACATTCGAAGAAGCTGTCTCCTCACTCAAGGGGGAGAGACTGATGTCAGAAGGAGGCCAATTCTCCTTGCACTCACCGTTCGATAAAGGCAATGGATCCACAACTACACTCAGAATCTTGGGCGGTGCAATGCGATGGGGTGGGGGTGGGGGGAGGAGGAGGTGGGGGAGGGGGCGGAGCAGTGTTGAACATGACTTGATATATTGACACAGAAAGGTATACACCTGCAAGGTCTGGCATGGGTCCAGGGTGGTCAGGGCCTGTTCAGACTATGCATGTGACGTGTTGGAGCTGTAAGCCAGCTTTCCAAATGCTTTTCGCAAAGGTGCTCAAGCTAAAGGCTCCTAAATGCCAACAACTGGTTTGGTTTCTCTCCCACCGACCAAAAGGGTCATGAAAGCTGTAAACTGCAGAAAATCACCCCACAGGGTTTCCCTACCTAGAGCATGTTGATTTATTTTTCTGTTTTGCGTGTGTGCTTGTAATAATTGGTGTGCATCTGTCAGGACAGGCATTCTCACAGCGATCTTCCCTAGTGATACCACCCGTAAGAGCCCAGTGTCAGCATTTGTTGACATGATTTCGGTTGGGATTTGAACATTGCGTGCTGCCTTTCCCAGTCCCTGCAAAGGGACCCCTGAGGGAGTCACAGAGATCCTTTTTGTGCATGTGCCCTCACAGCTGCTTGGTGCTCACTGGTGATCAAACTACCTGGAAGGTGGGAAAGCCAACAGGAGTGCTTTTGATGGCTGTAGATCCAGCTTTATTCTGCCTGTTGAAAGCGCCACATGGAATATGCAGGTTCTCCACGGGTCTTTCAGGAGATCACCCCTGTCTCCCAACAAAAAGCTTCTGATGCAATGGAAAACCCTATGTCAGCCCTGGCTTTCGGGTAGCTGTCAGAAGGGCTAGGCAGTTGGTTAGCTCATCTGGCTTGACAGTTAGCTTACAAGGCAGAGTTAACACCCAGAATGGGGGTTCAAATCTCATGCTAGCTGAGGTTGCCATGAAGTACTCTCCTTCTCAACTCTCTCTGTAATGAGACAGCAACCCTATGGTCTGGTAGAGCTACTGCATCTCCTATGCATTTGCACATTCATTTAATTTGTCCAAATCACACTGAAACCTCTTTACATCTTCCTCCCAAATCACAATTTTACCTAGCTTGAGGTTGAATGGTGGCTCAGTGGTTAGCACTGCTGCCTCACAGTGCTAGGGACCTGAGTTCAATTCTACCCTCAGGCAACTGTCTGTGTGGAGTTTGCACATTCTCCCCATGTCTGTGTGGGTTTCCTCCCACATCTCTAAAGATGTGTAGTTAGGTGGATTAGCCATGGGAAATGTAGGGTTACAGAGATAGGCTGGGGGCTTGGATCCAGGGGTGGGATGCTCTTTGGAGCAGATTCAATGGGCCAAATGGCCTCTTTCTGCACTTTGGGAATTCTATGGTAGCAGGTTCACACCCTATTTTGGTTACGTTGAAGCTGGTTCTTGTCCTACTTTTGAGACCAGCGGAATAACCCGGAAGGGAAATGTCAAATTATACATTCATGAGGCAGAGAAAGGAATAATTTTATGTAGAACATTTAGGGTATCCCAAAGTGAGCAGGAGTCACACCCAATTCTTGAGTTTGATCTACATGAATGCCACAATTTCCAAATAAAGGGTGAAAGGGAGGCTCACTAAAATCCCTTGGAAGTGCTGATGTTACCTATGGTTTGTCCTTTCCATTTGGTATTTTCATTTATAAAGACATATGAATTGGGAACAAGAGTTGGCCACTACCCTCAAGCCTGTTCCATTGTTGGTGGTTTGATGTTTTGAAAGGGCAGTGCCTCAGAGTGTCCAGTTCAGACCATGTCTGAAAGACAATCTGGTGCTCCGTTGTTTTTCACCAGAATATTATGTATATTTTTGGTGGACTCACCAACAAATTCAGGGCACGAGGTACAAAGGTGATATACATATAATTTGTACCTATGTGGTATTTTTAATGTAGTTAAAGGTCCTAAGGTGAAATATACAATGATCTTTGGAGGGGTGGCCTTATAGAGGTTTATAAAATCATGAGAGGTATAAATAAGGTGAATAGCAGGTGTCTTTTCCCTAGGATGGGGGATTTCAAGACTAAGGGGCATATTTTTAAGGTGAGAGGAGAAATGATTTAAAAAGGACATGAGGATCATTTTGTTTTACATAGAGACTGGCTCATGTGTGGAATGAACTTCCAGAGGAAGTGGTGGATGTGAGCACAGTTACAACGTTTAAAAGACATTTGGATAAGTACGGGAATAAGAAACGTTTGGAGGGATATGGGCCAAGTGCATGCAGGTGGGACTAGTTTAGTTTGGAATTATGGTCAGCACGGACTGTTTAGACTGAAGGGTCTGTTTCCATGCTGTATGACTCTATGACTCCAAAGTGGATCATGAATGCATTATTCAGAAAGTTCAAGGGCCACCTATCCCAATTGTTGATTCATTGTAGAATCTACTGGTGTGCTGTTGATCAATTTAGTATGTCTCATCCTTTCTGCTGTTTGTTGATGCTAGCCCTTAATAACACCAAGCTAAAAGAAACTGACAGGTGAAACATGCACGATCATGCCACCCACTTCTACCTCACCACCAGCTCGCTCAATCACTCCACTCCATTTGACATGCCCCATTGCGTTCCCAACATCCAGTACAGGATGAAGAGAAATTTGCTCAAACCTGACATTAGATAATCCAAGACAATTGCCTCCGGTCTCCTCAGCCACTGACTCCTGTCCTTGCCTCAGCCACAGTTTGTGACTGAATCAGAGTGTTCACAGTCTTGACATCCTGTTTGGTCTTGAGCTAAGCTTTTGGCATGATAACCTCTCCATCATCAAAGCTACCTACTTCCATCTCTTTAGCATCATCCATTTTCGACCTCTGCTTTGCAATAGAGTTAAGTGATTTGGGAAAGAGGTGTTCTGTTCCTTTTGCTTTTCCTAAAAATCCCAGCCTCAGGAATTTAGGAATTCAGTCTCAGGAACTCTGCTGCAGGATAAAAAAAATCATTTGTTTGAGCATCTGGTAAATAACTAAAGTTTCTGCGATTTGTGCCGATAAGTAAATTGTATAAAGAACATAATATGGTAAAGATTTGGCAAATGGAGTCCCATTCTTGAGTACGTTGTGAGTTGATTTGGACACAAGTTGGAACACAATGCATGACAATATAAAGGATCTGTTTGTAAGTACAGGAAATGTTAATATGGTGGATTTTTTAAATTATACCCCTATATGAATCACCAATGTAAGTACAACTGTTCATAACTTAGACATTCAATAATCAGGGGCCTCCTGTATAATGTGGGAAAATGTGAACTTGCCCACTTTGGCATGAAGAACGAAAAGAAAGGATATTTTCTAAATAGTGAGAGATTCCATAGTATTGACATACAGAGGGATCTTGGTGCCCCAGTGTATGAATCACAAAAGGTTAGTATGCTGGTACAGCCAGATTTAGGAAAGCTAAATAAAATGTTAACATTTATCATGAAGCCAGTTAAATCTAGAAGTAGGGACATTATGCTTCAGTCATAAAAGGCATTGGTGAGACCTCATCTGGACTACAGTGTACAGTATTTGTCACCTTACTTAATGAAGAATGTAAATATGTTGGACGCAGTTCAGAGAAGTGACTAATACCTGGATTGGGCAGGCTGTCTTTTGCTTGTGTTTTCTGGAGTTTAGAAAAGTAAGAGGCAAATTGGTTGAAACATATAAAACCTTGAGTGATCTTGACAGGGTAGATGCCGATCAGATGTTTCTCCATGGGACAATCCAGAACTAGGGGGGGCACTGTTTAAAAATCAGGGATGGTCCTTTAAAAATAGAGGTGCAACAATTTCTTCTTCCAAATGTCATGAGTCTTTTGAATGGTCTTCCTGAAAAGGTAGAAGAAGAGTCCTTGAATATTTTTGAGGCAAACGTGGATAGATACTTAATAGGCAAGGTGAGGGGGGAGGTGATGAAAGGTTATCAGGGCCAGGTAGGAACGCAGTTTTGAGGTTATAATCGGATCTGCCATGATCTTATTGGGTGTGGAGCAGGTTTGTGAGGCTGAATGATTTACCTCTGCTTTTAATTCAGGTGTCTTGTAGCTTCCATAAGTTACGTTTGTTTCTCAGATCACACCATGTGCTGTGGGCTGACACATTTTCTTGTTCAAAATACAGACAGTAGTGCAGTTATGAGTGATTTCACACTCTGGATATTTGCATCTCCATGTGCGTGAATGTACGGTTTTAAATATTTGCTCATAAAGTAGGTACAGAATTCAATTACATTTAATTTATTCATTCATGAGGTGCAAGTGTCACTGGTAAGGCAAGCATTTGTTGCCCAAACCAATTGAACGTGAGGTTAGTGGCCTACTAGGCCATGTAAGAGGGCAATCACATTACTGTCTGCCTGGAGTCACATATAGGCCAGACCAGGTAAGGATAGCAGATTTTCTTCGCTAAATGACATTTGTGAATCAAGTGGATTTTCACAACAATCAGTGATAGTTTCATTGTTACCCCCATAAATGATGTTAGCTTTCATTTCCAAATTCATTAACTTAGCTTAAATGCTTTCAGTTGCTGGGATGGGATTTGAAGCCATGTGTACCCATAGCATTAGCATGGGTCTCTGGCTTATTAGTCCATTAACATTACTACTGAATCATTTTCTCCCACAGAAAAGCGGGGGAATTCTTCCTGATCTCTCTAGTCAATAATTATCCCTCAAGCAACATCCAGAAAACAGATTATCTAGTCACCTGCACAATGCTGTTGTGTGGCACCTTGCTGTGTGAAAATTGGCTACTACATTTCCCACATTATAACAGTGACTACACTTCGAAATAAACACCATTGTGTCCAATTCTGGTCACTCAGTTATAGGAAGGATCTTATTAAGAGAGGGTTCAGTAGAGATTTACCAGGATTGTTGCCTGGTTGGAACATTTGCATTAAAAAGAAAGGCTGGATAGGCTGGAACTTTTTTCAGTGGAGCACAGGAGGTTGAGAGGTAACCTTATACAAGTTTATAAAATAATGCAGATATTGAGTTAATGGTAGTTGTCTTTTCCCTAGGTTGAGGGATTTCAAGACTAGGGGGCACATTTTTAAGGAGAGAGGAGAGAGATTTTAAAAACACATGAGGGGCAATTTTTTTACACAGTGGGTGGTTTACATGTGAAATGAACTTCCTAAGGAAGTAGTGGATGTGGGTATAATTACAATTTAAAAGCCATTTGGATGCGTACATGAGTAGGAAAGGTTTGGAGGGGTATGGGTAAGGAGCAGGCAGGTGGGACTAGTTTAGTTTGGGATTATGTTCGACATGGACTGGTTGGACCGAAGGGTCTGTTTCTGTGCTGTATCACTCTATGACTTCATTGCTTCACACATTGTGACATCTTTAAGTAACATTATGATGCTGCAGAAATATAAGCTTACCATTTTTGAGATAAATGCTCAAAAACATCAGGCTTTGATTATGATCGAATTAAGTTGGACTTTGGAACGAGAGAGCGGGACATTAAAAGCTTGGAATCTGACTGTTGAAACAATGCTGCCTGGGACCATTAAATGAATTCCAGGGTTTGGATGACATGACACAATAATGCAGAACATCCAAAATATATGCTAACCTTTCAGGGAAATAGTTTCATTCCATTGCACACTAGACAAACCGGTGCAGAACAGAAAGTCCGAACAAAAGCTGGAAAAGTCTTTGAATGCTTTGTTTATGCCAACCCTCAGTGTTCTTTGTGTTGCTTTTATTGAGACTGTTGGAAAGGCAATGAGGTGGTCTATGGAGGCAGTGGGGGATTAGCCTTCATTGGTATTCTTTTGAAATAGATATTAAAACTGTTGACAAGATGAGCAGACAGGGTACTTTCAGAGATGGACGTGCAAGCAAATCACAAATCACAGTCAATCTGAATTTCAGGTTTGGGCTGAGGAGCTTAAATAATTAAATCAATATTACTGCGAGGAAAGACATGCTGTGAAAGCCTTCTGTCTTGCATTCATCAGGACAAATGCAAGAGTGCCAAAATTCAGATGACAATAATTTATTTAGTATACATGTGTCTGTCCTAATGAGTGCAAGGTGAAAACTCCAGCAAAGTTTGTCTTTTTAGCAAGATTTATGTTTTGTACCACCAAGTGACTATAATTAAATTAATCTTGCCACACCGCAGTGTCAAGCAGGGGAAGAATCAAGTCAAACCAACTTTTTACCTTTATATTGAAAGTTGGATGAGCAATGTCATAACGACTGCAACAATTTGTTAGCTAGACGTCGGGATTACATTATAAAATATCCACTCGATTCTCACATGGGATGAGACATGTGAGCATGGGCTCCAGTCACATATACTTAGAGCCATATTTGTACATAGGGCCATGTACAAACTCACATGCCTATATTCAGCAATCACCAGCTTCTGTTGTATGCTATCAGTTGCGGCTCAGCATTCTTGTGTCTGACTCAAAAGATCATGGGTTCCAAGCCCCACTCCAAGACACATGCACAGAATCCGGATTTTTCCTCCTAATGTGGTGCTGGGGGAGTTCTGCACTGCCCAGAAAGGCAGGCTTCTGGATAAGACTTTAAACTGAGATGCTGCTTCCCCTCTTAAAAGATCCTATGGCCCTCATTGAAACTGAGCTGCGGAATTATCATTGGTGTCCTGCCAATGTTTATCCCTTAAAGCAGCCGGTATGAAAAATTACTTGGATGGTTTGGTCATTTCTTTCATTGCTGTTTGTGGAATCTTTGTTGTTCTCAAATTGGCTCCTGTATTTCCCACATTATATAACAGTGACTACACTTTGAAAGTACTTTGTTGGCTTTAAAGTGTGTTGTGAATGTTGGTGGGAGTTGAGACACAAGCTCATTTCTTTCTCTCTGGCCACAGACTGTTAGTCAGTCATGGGAATGTAGTCACTGTTTTATTGCTCAGCTGAGAGTGTCTGTGGACAGGAGCCTGTTAATTTGCTCAGCGGGGCTTGGGGTTATGTCCTGGTATCTGACTGGGTTTATTTCTACCTTTTAAGGAGACAATCATAATATTGACAGCATCATTTATAAGTGGAACCCCAATACCCGTCTGTTTGAAAGGAACCAGACCATCCCAACCTCGGGAGCCTATGACTGGGAATTCTTTACGATCGGACCCTATTCCTTTTTAGTCGTGGCGAACACCTTCAATGGGACATCAACCCGGATCTACTCCAGGATTTACATCCAGCTGGGAGGAATGTTCCGACTTTTCCAGTCAATCCCGGTAAGTGCCCAAGCAGAAGCAGAACACTGCAGACACTGGGAATCTGAAGTGAGAACAGAGAAACTCAGCAGGTCTGGCAGCTTCTGTGGAGAGAGAAACAGAGGTAACGTTTCAAGTCCAATATGTCTCTTCAGAATAGAAAATGGTTTTTATGCTGTTAACAACTTTAATCTGCTCCACACTCTCCTTTCCCTCTGTTAACAGCATAAATTCCATCATTTCCCACTCCCTGTCAGTTCTGAAGAGTCAAAACAGATTGAAAATGTTAACTCTATTTCTCTTTCCACAGATGCTGCTGGACCCGCTGAGTTTCTTCAGCATTTTCTCTTTATATTTCTGCAAAGTTCCTCTGTTGATTTAAGTAGTCAAAAGACCTCACAAGATGAGGAGAGAGGGGCAGGTGTCTGCATTTATAAAGCATCCTAACCCGTTATGGGAAATAGGAACAGGAAAGGCCATTCAGCCCCTCAAAGCTGTTCCATCATTTAATGAGATTATAGGTGATCTGCGTCTAAACTCCATTTATACGTGTTACTTGGGAACACATCAAAAACTATCACAGGAAATGAATTATTTTGAAATGGCGTCTCCACTCTTACATGAGCAAAACAAAAAAACACATCTGTGTAATACACAACAAGATTCCACAGGTACCACTGTAACCACTGCACTGTGAACAAACCAGGACAATATATGAATGGTTTTCCCTGCAGGGGTTGGATACAATTTAGCCGCTTAAAAGGTTGTTTTGGAGAGCAGATGAGAGTCAACCTCATTGCTGTGGGCCTGGATATCACTTTCAGGCCAGACTCTACAATGTTGGCAAACTTCCTCCCATAAAGGGAACTGGATGGGTTTTTACAATTCAGTAGTTTCATGATTATTGATGAGATTAGCATTTTATTTCAGATTTGGTGACTAATTGAATCTAAACTCCACCCCTCCATGGGTACTCAATGAGTACACATATATCATGTCAATGAGCTCTCTGTAGTCTCTTGTCAACTCTCACATAATTGACTGACAAGAGAATTCCCTGCAATTACACAGTGACTAATGCTCACCAAAATCACGTTTGGGTAGAATCCAACTTCACAGCAATGCGGATGAATTTTGAAAATGTGGCTTCTGTTTGTATCTCTGTAAACATTATGACAACATTGCAATGTGAAATTGATTAAAGTTCTCCACCTTTTTCCTCTCTAGATTTAGATTTAGATTTTTCAGATTTTAGGTACAGGAGTACAGGAGTACAATGGAAAGTGTATAATTTATACCAAAGTACCTAGATACAAAAAAAGCTTAAGTACAAAGTAGTTAGAGAAATGAGAATTGAGAAGTTAAGCATTATTTCATAGAATAGTAGAAAAATAAAGTAATAGGTTATAGTTTACATTGAAGTCTTTCGTAGTTTAAACAAGAAAAGTGAAGGAATAGGCTAAAAGTTCAACAGTCTTTGATGAGTCCTCCACTTACCTCATTCTCTGGGAGACCTCAGCCCTCCATCTATCAAAGTTAACTTATTTCCAGTTCACTCTATTGCCTTTCCTTCACAGCTGCATAATATTTATCCTCCATAATATTTACATGCTGCCCTTCTAACCTTAGTCTTTCTCCTGAGTTTTCTGCAAATATTTTTTTCCTCTCTCTTCTAATCAATTGTTTTCATTCAGCCTAGATTCAGTTGAATGGAAAGCCTCACCAGGTTTTTCGATTAATATGCTTTAGCTGATGATTGACAATCTCAGAGCTTCTGCATATGCCAGTAGCTTTCTTGAGTGTAGGTTTCTCCGCTCCCTGCAGATGTGCTTTCACAGCAGGGTCCCTCATGCCTGAGACAATCCTATTTCTAATGAGTTCCCCTTTCACTTGTCCAGTCTTACAGATCCAGTGGGATGTGCCAAAGTAATCATGTCCAGATCAATTGTCTTCCTCTCGCCTACAGCGTACTGTTCATACACAACATTAATATGGGTTAAAAAGTGCATCTTCAAAGCTTTCAAAATCTCCCCTTTCTGGCTCTTCTGCCTTGCCATGAGATCTAGGCTGCTACAAGCTATATTGCACATTTTCACCAGCTTTCACTGATACCATGACTACTACTCTGATTTGCTCATCTTTTTAAAAAATAATTCCGTAGCTATTTCATATTTTGCTACCAATAGTGGAAAAAAATCCAATTGTGCCTCAAATTTCCTTCTATTTCCACTACAGTGGAGAGTGGAAAATGCATAGCCATTTTGACTCGGCCAATAACTCCAAGTTGTAGACTGTTGCATTTACTTTGCGTCCTTGCTGTTTCTTTTAGCAATAGCCTCTTTTAACAGTTCTAAAAATGCCATACGTTTTCGACTGGATATTCCTTACTGTCTTCCTTGTAACTGCTGGCTCTGTTACAGCTCTGAATATCCACACATTTTCACCTGTACCATTCCTGACGTCATTTTTTTTTTACAAGTGTTTAATGTCAGCACCCAGATGATGGCACCCGAAGGCACTTAAAACAGAGGTAGTGGTCACGTGTCTGTGGGGAGCCAGCCAGTACCCTGACAATACAGTTGCATTTCTCCAAATAAGATCTGTACACGACCATACCAGCTTCTGCCAACTCTGTAATCGCCCTGTAGCTTTTTCAGGTATCTGTATTCCTGCAATTTTGACCTGTTGCGCATTCCCGATTTTAACCTTCCCACCATTGCTGCCCATGTCTTCAACCATCTAGATGTCAAACTCTGGAATTCTCTCTCCAAACCTCTCCCTGTGTACTCCTTTTGATCTCCTTATGAGGCTCAACATCAACTTTTCTCTGGCTGTGCTCCAGTAAAGAAGCTTGGGACATTTTACTGCATTCAAGGCTATATATAAACTCAAGGTATTATCGGTGGTGGGTTTTGGGAGGAATGAATTTCCAGTGCTGGGTGTCAGTTAAATTGGTTGGCTACGCATGTTGGTTTACAGTGCAGAGTGATGCCAACAACATGGGCTCAATTCCCACACTGGCTGAGGTTACCATGAAGGTCCTGTGTTCTCAACCTCTCCCCTTACCTGAGGCATGGTGACCCTCAGGTTAAACCAGCACCAATCGTCTCTCTCTATCTCTAATGAGAAAGCTATAGGATAGGGAAGATTTCACAATTAAAACAGAATTGATCTCCAAATAAGCATCATCTTGAGGGCACTGGTTACAAATGACTGACAACTCAGCACAATCTTGAAGGCGCTATGTGTACAAAATATTCACACTACTTAAACCCTCAGGACTTGCAGGATTAGTTACACCTTGTTCCAAGCAAATCAAATTTCATTTTCTGAGCCGACTGGTTTCACAATCTGAGCAGAGGGAGGTATCAAGGCTGCTCGTGATTTGTATTCATTTCAAGGACATACAGGATTGTCATCATGTGGCAATATCAAGGAGCAGAGCTGACAGGCAGGCTTCATCATAGATCTTTCCTCCTTTTCAACTGCACGTTGCTAACGATTCGCTGTCACATCTCTTGGAACAACATCACTTGGCAAGTGCCATCTCAGCTCTTCATAATTAACCAATTTTTTCTCTCCAGCCTTGGAAGCAACAGAGATATCATTAGCGATAAAAGATAATCGGCCAATCTTGCCCACAATGCCTGATTAAGGAGGGATATTAATCCTCAGGCTCTCCAGTTTAGTGTGTAACAGCTTCCTGATGGAAAGACTGAGAGACATCAATTAGTGTACAGCTACCTCCCTGAGTTAGTGTATAGATGTCTCCCAGAAAGATCTCAGTGTACAGATTGTACCAATTTTAAGAAGGTAGCTTAAACCTCTTATTTTAGAGGTGGATATGAAGTATGTGTTCCAGATGTGATGTGACTGGTCAAACTACTCGACGTTAAACAAAACACAATTTACTTAAACACTTTTGTGAAAATACAAACAAGATAAAGGAATTTAGAATAACTTAACTATTGGAAAACTTAACCAAATAATAGATACAGTAACTATTACTGATAAACTGCTCCAATATAGTAACATCCCATAAACACACCCCTTGGCAAAAAGGAATATTCAGACACATATGCAGTTCTCCAATCCAGGAGGAAGAAACATCAAGAGAAATTTCTGAGAAAGTAGAAGCTAGGAATCTTTCACCGAAGCTTCCAGCTCTTCTGACACCCCAAACAGCTTCTGATGCTACTGAAGGAACCAAAGCCTAGAAATCCCGATCTGTGAGAGGTGGCCACACCCATTCAGGCTGTAGAAAAAAGCACATGGCCTCCTAAGCTGTTTACTTAAGTTGTCTTCAAGTAGCCAGTTTGGTACCTCTGCCGTACAATCTCTCTTCAAAGAAAAAACCCAGGACAAAATAACCTTTTAAAGTGACAGCATCATCACAAGATACCCCTCAGAAATGTCTCAAGCAATGTACAGATACCTCACAGAGAAATCCCAGTCAGTGTACAGATGTTCCCTGGATAAATCCCAGTCATAATATAGATATCTCCCAGAGAAATATCAGCCAGTTGTACATAGATCTCCTGGAGAAATGCCAGTCTCCAAGACTCAAGCTGAGGTTAATTTGATGTAAAGTGAAGTTTTGTCAATATACACTTAGAGAGCGTGCCCAACAGTTTTAATAGTTATTAATGCAGTTTTTAAAAAGAAAATACAGTAATATAAGAAAATATATCTGGATTTGGAAACGTGAGTTAAATTGTTGATGTCATCTTGTTTGGAGAAAAGAATTCTTTTAGAATAGCTTCGCGTTGAGCTGACAACTCTAATTGAGGGTACAGAAATATCCCTGGGGATAGACTGAGAGATACAAACAGCTGACACAAGTAAATGATAAGATGTTGCTGTGACAGCTGACAGGAATTGTCTTGTCAAATTCCCTTTTCCTCATGCATCTTTCTAATTGGAAAGCCCCACTTCCATTCTCTTTGAAAATGGAAGGATGCCATTCAGTTCCTCAGGCCTGCTCCAGCATTCACTGGATTATATCTCCATCTACCTGCCTCGGTTAGATATTGCTTTAATGCCATCACCTAAGAGAAAACAATTAATCTCAGTCTTAGAAATTTCAATTGGCTCTCAGCCCCAGCAGACTGTCAGGGGAGGGGGCTGGGGGATATTCCACATTTCCACAATTCTTTGTGTAAAGAAAAGAATGTTCTAATTCCACATCATTGTGGCCTTGAGCAAATTTAAAGAAATAGATATGCACTTGTCCTGGTCTCTATCTATCCTGTTAAATTCTTGCAACAATTTGAACATCTCAATCAGATTACCCTTCAGCTTTCTGAACTCAACGGAATACAAGCCCAATCCAATCAACCTATCTTCATAACTTAAATCTTTAAACCCCAACCCCCACCCCCGAATCAGTCAGATGGATCTGTGCTGTGTCATAATTAAGGTAAAAATTTTGTTCCTAAAGTATAGAATCCCTACAGTGTGGAAGCAGGCCATTCAGCCCATCGAGTCTAAGCATTCGTCCCAAAGAGCATCCTACCCAGACCCACCCTATCCCTGTAATCCTGCATCCTCACAGCTAATCCACCTAGCCAGCCAGGGGGTGGTCTTGCTTGACTTGTGAGGGACCCATAGCTTTCTCGACAGATGATTAATGCCCACAATCTCTGTTCAGTTTCTATGAAGTTTCTTGCCAGTTTGGCCACTCTTTCCCATGTCTGCTATGTTTCTCATGATACTGGCGTTATGCAGCAGATTTTCACACTTGGATACAGTGGCACAGAGACTGTGCTCTGCTTCCTTTATTGATATGACCACTTTCAACTCAAGCTCTGCCGGATGTTCCTGCACAGAGGAGAATGATGACCAGTTTCTCCACCTCTACAGCCTGCTCCTCCAACTGTGGCTGAAGCAGCTACACCAACTGTTAACCTTCCCCATTCTTCCTTCAGCTCACTCATGGTGGCTCTGCTAACTGCAAATACAATCATAGAATCCCTACAGTGTGGAAGCAGGCCATTTGGCCCATCCAGCCCACCCAGACCAATCCCCCTACCTCATCCCTGTAGTCCTGCACTTTCCACAGCTAATCCGTCTACTCTGCACATCCCAGGACATTTTGGACACTTCAGCATGGCCAATCCACCTAACCCGTACATCTTTGGACTGTGGGAGGAAATGGGAGCACCTGGAGGAAACCCAGCAGACACAGGGAGAATGTGCAAACTCCACACAGTCACCTGAGGCTGGAATAAAACCCGGGTCTCTGGCGCTGTGAGGCAGCAGTGCTAACCACTGAGCTTCTGTGCCACCCTTGGCACTAGCTTGGCTAGGGGAGCAGCTGGTTCTGGAGCACAAGTCTTCAGTACTATTGCCACAGTGTTGTCAGGGCCCAGTGCTCCCAACTGTTCTTGATATCACATGAGTGAATCAAATTGGCTGAAGACTGGCATCCGTGATGCTTGGGACCACGGGAGGAGGCCGGGATGGATCATCCACTTGGCACTTCTGGCTGAAGATTGCTGCAAATTCTTCAGCCTGATAGTTTATGCTGTTGTGTTAGTCTCTTTCATCATTGATGATGGGGATATTTGTCGAGCCTCATCCTCCAGTGAGTTGTTTATGTTTCTCTTCCTTCTGCTTCTCTTCTTCCAGAGCTTCGTTCTCCTGACTGAGCTCCTCTTTACTCTTGTTAATAGCCTCTCCATGTTGGTTTTCTCATACCCCCAATGCTTTCCTTCTCTCATTCAACCCTTACCCCACCCCCAACTTTAAGATGTTCCTTAAAAAGCTTACTTTTTGACTAAGCCTTTGACAACAGTTTGGGGTGAAGTCCTGTTAACAGCTCAATATGCAAATAAGCCAACTGCCCAGATGTTGTTGCATGACCACAGGCTCTCTGCTCCGCAGCACTCAAAGCACAGATTGTGTCTGGGGGATTGCACTGCACTGTATATTTTATTTTAGGGGTAAACAAACACACCTGAGGTCTTCAAGCAAAAGGAATCCATCTACCTAATTTGTGTTCCATTTAGATAACACAAAAATATCATTATGTGATTTGCAGCTGGGATATTTTTCTTTCAAAGAAACAAAACAAAGAAACTGGCCTTAGAAACTTGGAGGCGAACAGCAACTAACAATATATATTGTCAATCTAGATATTGGCTCTGAATAGAATACAAAATAAGATTTCTTCACAAACTGAGGGTATCTTCAAGTTGGCTCAGCTTATGTAGGCACCCAGCTGATTCAAACCCGCCCCAGGGAAATATCATTTCAAACTTGACAGCTGTTGGGAGTCAGCCCCATGTTGAACTATGAGAAAAATCATATCCAAGTTTATACAATAACAAAACAAAGTGGGTTGCATTCAGGAACAGCACGGTGCCCAACATAACAATCCCTAAAAAAGGTTTCAAGCCAAAAAATAGAAAAGGAACACGAGGTACAGTGATGCACTTAGTGCTGTAAGCACAGAAGGATGGATACCCAATTCTCCGCTATGAAATTGAAAGCCATGGATCTGTTGTCAAAGCTCCAACCTTTTAAACAAAGAATTCTGTGATATATCCTTGACTAAGTAATTGCAGGGTTGGTTAAGCGAGCTGTGAAAATACTAATAACAGTTAGTAATGAGCCGTTACATAGACTCAGACTCAGGCTTAACAGATGAGGACCAAAATTATGCTGTAGAGATATGCAAAGTGCTAGGAGATCAGCTGGATGTGAGCGTAAACTTTGCAATTCTTTTCTTAGAATTGATGTCCTACAAGCAAAAGCCACAGGAAGCAATAGATCGCTTTGTTAGTTGATGCCTTAACAAGAGCAACAAATGTGCATTTTTAAACACTAAACTGACAGAGCAGATAATAGCAGATTGTCTCAATATCTACTAAGGCATTCTAAAAATCCTCTTGGGAACAAAGGAACCTGGCAACGTTGAATCACTGCTGGTAGGTGGTAGAAATGTAGTGCTAATGTGGCTGGAAGCTTCTTGAGTGTTGTTGGAGCTACACTCATCCAGGCAAGTTTGATCATGTTCCTGACTTGTGAACTGTAGATGATGGACAGGCTTTGGGGAGAGAAGAGGTGGGCTACTTATCTCAGAATTCCCACTTTCTGACCTGCTTTTGTACCATGAGGATTTTGATAGTGGGGAATTCAGTGATGGGAATGCCATTGAATGTCAAAGGATGATTGTCCAATCTCTCTGCAGGTGGTCATTGCCTGGCACTTGCATGACATCAATGTTACCTGTCACTTATCTGGCCAAATCTGAATATTGTTTTGGTATCAGAGAAGTGCAATCATCAGCAAATATCTCGAATTCTGAATAAAAACCAAA